TCTTCTTCATTTTCTGAAGAAGGGTCTAGGCCCGAAACGTCAGCCTTCCTGCTCCTCTGATGCTCCTTGGTCTGCTGTGTTCATCCAGCTCTACACCTTGTTATCTCAGCCTTTGGATTCTGTTAGGATTCTGTTGTAAGCATAAACCAGCTTGTATTGTAGTAGTCACACCACTTTTGTTTACTGTTAGGAGGCAAGGTAAGCAAATAGTCATGTAGAGGATGGTTGAATCATTCACACTGTCCATTACCCTGTGAATGATGGGGCTGGGTGCTGTAGCTCTTGGCAATACCATCGACCTTGCATCCCTGATCACTGTGAATCTGACATGGAACGCCAAAAAGGAAAAACCAATTACCTATAAAACGTCAGCTTTAATTGAGTCCTTTTGGTCAGGGGCGGGAATGGCCTGTGTGAACTTGGTGAAGGCATCGGTAAGTCCAAGAACGGGTTCAATCTTATTTTTACTGGTGTCGAGGACCAGAAAATCCACTGCTAGGACCAAAGATCTCATGCTGGTTTGAAGTTGCTTCCCTGCTTTGGCCAAAGAATATCGCTCCCAATTTTGATGCTAGTCATTCATATCAGAAGCCATCCCAAGCCAGTAATACTGTTGTCTGCTCAGGCCAATCGGCTTTTTAGTCACCTGATATCTTGCTCGATCGTGAACTGCAACCAGTGGTTGATACTTGAGGCCATTGGGAAAGATGGGTTGCTTCTCTCTTTTTCTCTCTCTCTCTCTCCTTGTCATTAGCTTAGGGGAGGCAATGGCCTAGTGGTATTATTGCTGGACTGCTTAATTCAGGGACCCAGACAACGTCCTGGGGATCCAGGTTCAAATCCCACCACGGCAGATGGTGAAATTTGAATTCAATAAGATATCTGGAATTAAGGATCTAATGATGACTGTGAATCCATTGTCAATTGTCAAGAAAACCCATCTGGTTCACTAATGTCCTTTAGGGAAGGAAACTGCCATCCTTACCTGGTCTGGACTATATGTGACTCCAATCCCACAGCAATGTGATGGACTCTGAACTGCCCTCTGGGCAATTAGGGGTGGGCAATAAATGCTGGCCTAGCCAGCGACGTCCTCATCCCATTAATGAATACAGGAAAAAAAAGCTAGCCAATAGAGGACTCCATCCTTCTCCCTGACTCTCTTCCAGCACCTCAACAGTTTCCGTGCCTACCTGGACTCCCTTAGAGATTGGCCCTGGGTTAGATGGATGACAAGCCTTCCAACAATGATGCAATCTTCTGATGCTCACATGAATCAGCTGATGCTGTCTGAAGTCCTCTTTCAAAATAGATGGCAAAGGTGAACGCATACCTGTCTGGACCTGATTTAGCTCTCATTCATAACTGCATCAGTGAAACTATGATGAATTATCGACGGAACGTAATAGAGTAACAATATCGGAATGCTACATTTGATTTGGTTATTGGCACAGTATCAGCCACAGCCCCTTTCACATGGGCAGGTGCAGGTTGCCTCCTACCATCAGTCTTCCAATTAAGTCCATCTGCATTTGTGTTACTTTTGCCTGGCCAATACTGGATCTGGAATTGAAAACTGAACAAATTCAGTGGCCCATTGGGTCTCTTTGCTCCAAGCTTACTGACACTTCGAAGTAGCTGAGCGGGTTGTTTTTTTGTTGTAAACACTTCATATTCTGCACCAGTCACAATGTCTCTGAGCTTCTGGGAACCACTAGCTTTAAGATGGGTTAGGTTTCATGCTGCTCACTCATGTTGAGGCTCCTGGACACAACAATCAGCTGTCTGTCCTCAATCCAGTCTTCAATCGCTGGATCATCAAGTGTTTCCAATCTTCCCACAAATCTGTCCGCGTTCGGTCTCATCAACAAGTAGACTATCTGACCAGGAGTGTTAAGTAACACTTCCTCCCTCCATATTATCAAGGGAATGCACATGGTTAGCATTACATTAACAATTTGATTCGTGTACCAGCACAGATTTACTGGTATAAATTTATGTAATATGATCCTTTACTTACTGTTAGACACAATTCTGTTCAGTATTCTTTGTAGCTCAAAGGAAGAAATCTCTGCATCCTGATTTTGAAAGAAAAGAAATCAGAATTCAACTACCATACCTTTCACAGGAAAGGAGCCCAAATTCAAACAAATCAGGTGATACCAAGCTAATACTTCCTTCCAAGTGGACAAAAATAATGGGGTGAATATTTTTCCTGTTTTTTTTTCAAATAATTATCCAACTTGTTTTTAATTAATATCATGGTCACTGCCCTAGCATCTTAGTGTTTCTAGTTCTACTGTATAACTTCTCTTTAAAAACATTTTATTAATATTCCCTATGTTCTTTCAGTGATAATCCTTAATCCATGTCATCTTGTTTTCAATTAGTTAAAGGATGGAAGACTTACCATTTCAAAGGTAATGCTTATATTGGTGATAATCCCTATAATTACTGACTTCTCCTTTCCCTCTTTCTTGAACTAACTGTAACATTTTTTTCTTCTTTGAAGTCTTTGGCACAGTTCTTATTTTTTAAGTTGTTTTGGAAAATATCCAGTTCAAGTGGCTTTTTGATATTAAGACAAAATGAATTAATTACATTTTCCCAATGAATGTTTAACAATTGTGATGGCTCTTTGACAGCATCCCTAGACACTCTACCAATCCTGTTCCACCATTAAAAAATCTGATGAAATATTGAATGTTTCCACTATCCCATTATTCTGAAAGGTAAGATACCCTTCGCTAATCCCTAAGTAGCCATTCTCCTTCTTTGACTATCCCGTGGCCCTCACCATTTCCACTTGTGTCAAAATATTTTTGTTCTTTTCCCTGTACAATTTATAAACACATTTTAAAACTCAATTTTGCTCTAACCTTTCAAGCTAATGAGAGAACTCCTGCCACTAACATACTCCTTTACTTCTAGTTGCAATATTTAAACACTTTGTTTCATATTTGAATGATTGTGGATTAATGATCTGCTATTTAATCTATTTTTAATTCTAGATGTAATGGCTAGCTGCCTTTCAAATAAATTTATTTTTTGTTTACCATCTTTATATTTATTTAATTATAACGGAATATTCATTGGGTTATGAGTGTGGGAATGGGTGTTCATATTTGCTGACGCACTTGGAATCAGCACACAATAAATTAAACTGTTTTCTGTCAAGCTCAGGATGCATCTTGTAAGTGGGGCTTAGGCAACAATCTTTTCTCAAATAATGTAGCTTGGTAGAATGTGTGAAATTCACTCAGGATGGTCCAAAATATATTAGCTTGGCTATTTGAATTTACAATAAATAAAATAATCAGAAGACTTTAAGAAGGTAATATAGCCTCGGTAATAAAATTATAGGAAGAGCTTAAGATAGCAATTAACATGAAAACAGGATGATTCAAAGAAATTGGTAAGAGCTAGGTATATTTTGCTGGCTCACTGTTATTCTATTGGCAGTGACTTATAACAGCACAGGAGGTCACCACAGAGCATACCCTGTCCTTGCCAGCTCTCTGTAGAGCAATTCAGTCTGTAAAATTACTGTCCATAAGCATATTTTATCTCAATTTGCTTTAGAGCAGGCAACATTAAAATAATAGAATATTCTTCTAGCGGCATACACGAAATTAAAGTTACAAAAGACATGTGGAACAACTCTAGTAGAGAATGTCAATTTCTTACCTGCCCTGCTAAATGATCAAACAAAGTCTCAAAATTGGCACTAATATCGTCTTCATCAACCTTTAGGAATTATTGAAGAAGAATTGAATTGCGTATGCATATAACCATAAACAACTAGAAAGAAATTTTGATAGGGCAATACTATAAACATTGCATTTCCAAGAATCAGATTTATTTAAAATGGAAAAACTCACATATTAGTAATTTTGAATGATACACAGTATTACAGCACATTGATAACACAGCAGAAATATTACTATACCATCCTAACCAAAACCGAGGGGTAAGAGAAGGGTCCCAGTTCCAGTCATCAGAGTCATTATTTTGTAAGGGAAGCCAGCCCGTCCACTGACTTTGTCAAGGGCTACTCATCCTCAGCAGATGGAATGAGGAGCTGTGCCCTGACTATATCCACCTACAGCTTGAACTAGCCTTCAAGAAAGCACAAAACAGCAAACAACTATGTCACTGATTAAGCCTATGCTCGGGAACCAAAATGTCAAACTGTCGTCGAACTGAGAATCTGTTCCAGTGTACCACTGCACAAAGTAATGTGTGTGGGTCTAAGCCCAACACGGCTCACATGCCCTGGAGATTATAGTTGACAGGGCAAAGACACCTTTGGGGAGTTTCTTTCCCACCCACTCCCTCCACATTCAATGTCAGAAGGAAGTAATCAAAACCCTTTAGGATCTCAATGGCAACCAACAAATAAGATCAGATTCCACAGGTAGCATGAGAGGGTGAGCTGTCAATATGCCTCAAATATCTACAACAAATAGCATGGAATTTACAGGTAAGGAAGGTCATTTAATCCATCTAGTCATCCAATCAGATTGAAGTTACCTTTTTCATCCTACAAGCATGCAAATTGGTTCTTTAATTATTCCAGGGTTTTGCCCTCACTATTGACAGACTGTTCCACTCATTGATTTTGTTGTGCAAATAATTTAATAACAGTCCTTAAGAGTCTGTTTGAACCATCAAACTTTTGCCCTATCTGTTGATTTAATTTAACATTATATTTCAGATTCTACCTTTTTAATCTATTTATAATCAGAAATACAACATTTACATGATTGCCTCTTTAGTCTGCCCTTTCAGATCTAAACAATCCAAGTTTCTTTGGTCTTACTTTATATTTCCAGATTCTTGCTTAGGAATCAACCTTGTAGCCCTTCTCTGCATTGTCTCGTATGGTTGGTTCTCTCAATAGTCAGAACTGGATCCATGACTCAAGTTGCAGTCTGACTGAAGCAAAATAAATTTTGATCATGACCTTCACAGATTTTTTTGAATCAAACTTTCCTCTTCAGGGTATTCTATCTAGTTCTCCAGTTCTTCCCCAACCTCCACTCAGTCATCTTATAAACCTGTTGTGACTCCTAGCATTCAGAGTAGAGTCAGACAACACCCAGTCACAAAGTTCAAGTAGTCACATAGTATGAACCAGAAGCTAGGCATTTACAGAGGCAGAAGGACCCTACTAAAAAAAAATCAAGCAATTGGTAGCCTTATAGACATGGGATTTTATACCAGTGCAAGTCAGGACAGCAAAAATGTCAGTAAGAGTTAGGATATGTGGTTGGTGATATTTCATAATGAAGTTTTTGACATTAAGGATAAGCAAAATCACAACAGGTCCTATAACACCTCAAAAAAAAGACAATTATAGTCACACATACCTCCTCGTCTTCCAGTCTTGCATCAACCTCAACATCTATCACTCTGTAATATTGAAAATGATACATATTACTTGCAATGAATCTTTCAGATGTGTTCCATGTATCCTGAGTACATTGCACTTAAATGTATAGGACCCATGTCTGAAGGAAATGCAGTGGCACATGTTGGGATATTCTTCATGTGCCTGTCTGGCCAGAAACTGCCTCCAGGGTATTTTACAATGAAGTGTATCACAAAGGAGTTTGATCTCACATTTGACCAGGATGCAGACTTTTCTAACACAGGACTCAAGAGAGATATCAGAAGGGAAACCTTGCCAAGCTTCTATGTGATAGAGATAAAGTATAGTGTCTCCTGGTTACAAATGACTAACACAGACTGGAAATCAAAACTGGCACCTTCCTCACCTGCATGGTTCAGATTTTACCAAATGCAAACCCACAAAGTCACTGGTGAGAGGTTGATTTAATGCTTCCAATATGATTTCGTGAAGACCAAATTAATTATTTGCACAAATTTGTAGATGCTTAGGGTAGAATTAAAGTACTTATCTATGCACAGGCTTGTGCACAAAAATGATGAGACCGAGATTTAGCAAAACTATACAAGAATAGAATCTTAATTTCAGACAAAAAGGAGAAATATCATTTACAGAATATGTGCAATGTTTTCATGTAGAACTATTTTCTTCTGAAGGATGAACGCTGGGCAATTAAACATAAAATTACTTATGATCAAATGGCACAAAAGGAGGCTCATTCAAACAGACGTCCAATTAACTCTATTACAGCTCCTCCCTCATAGCCGTGAAAACTTCCCCTTTCAGTACATTTCCAATTCTGAGAGGAAACTTACTGCTGAGTCCGTTTCTGCTTAGCTTTCAGGCATTACGCATTCCGGATGATAACATAATAACACACTGTATAAAAATAAACTTTGTCTCCCTTCTGCTTCTTTTGCCAATTGTCTAAAAACTTTGTCATTGGTGTACTAACCTTCCTGCCAGCTAAAAATGGTTTTCCCCATGAAAATCCACCTAAATTTTGAACATTAAACATCCTTTAAACTATTCTACTCAAAAAACGCAATTCCAGCTTCTCTAAATTCTTCATGTATTATTTACACTTTCATTTAATTTCATGTAGAAGAGGCCAAGAGGAGAGAGATTTGGTCATAGGCATGGTGAGTTTCCACTGTATTTCCACAGAGGTTACAGCTGATGAATGGAAGCAGCTTTTGACGTTACTACCCGCGCTTGACTTAAAATGCTTGCATTAAGAAAAGCAAGCTGTCGTGGCCTTTCATGGCATTTGCTCATATCTAAGTCTGTATTGTTTATACTCACTGAACATCAGTTTGTTTCTCTGTAAATAGACGAATTGCAAAATCTCCATTTTTATGTGGCTCAAAAGTGGATGGTACAATGAAATACTGTCCAGGTTCAAGAGCAAGACGGCTCATGACCTCTCGCAGATTGATGAAGGTTTCTGATCTCGCTCTGGCTGCATGCGTCATGAAAAAATCTCTCCTCAGCTGAATATTAGTTCGGTCTTTATACTATGTACAAATAAAAGAAAATGACATTAACTTGTTTCTGCTTTTACAATTCTTTTGAAATGTTATCACAATCTATATATAATAATATTCGCAATGATAGCACCATTATCAGGAAAGCAACAGAAACAGCGGAGTATTTGCCAGTCTGTGTCCATTTCACTGTTAAAATTCTCCTTCAGCATGTGGTTTTGGTAGGGATAATCAAAGGGACAAGAAAAATCAGATGACATCCAGCCCTTTCAAACAAAAATTACATCTATTTACTGATCAGGTCAATACGGAGATCCACTGTACCAAAAGGGTACTCTCCCAAAATGTCACTGCCTATTGTGGAAAAAATTCTAGGAGTTTGACTTCTTCACTTCTGAGGAAGGGTCACTGAACCCGAAAAGTAAATTTTGCTTTCTCTTCGCAGACGTCACCAGACCTGCGAGTTTTCCTAGCAATTTCTGCTTGTGTTTCTTATTTCCAACATCTGCAGTACTTTTTTTCTTTGTTTGAAGATTAATTGGACGAAATTCAGAGTAATATTAAAAACTAAGAAAATACTACCATCTTATAAAAATCTAATTAATGTTGTAAGCTGGATCTTATTTATACGCACCTCGTCAGGGACCTGTGGAGTTAAGAAAGACAAGAACATAAGTCCAAAGGGTTCTATAAGGCATTTATAAATTTATGCAATTTTAAAAAATTTTTGAGCTCAACTCAAGTCATGTTTTTAAGTGCTGTAACAATAATGAACCCCATACAACATTTCACAAATGCAGTAATGACAGAACTAATAATGTCTGTGCCATAAAATTAGATTTTATGGTGCTAAAGCTTTGATACAGAGCAATCTAAGTAGATTTGCACTGGTGGCTGCCAATATTTTTACACAAGTAAGTGTGAAAACAGAGCCATATACTCTGCAGAGAAAGTCCCAACCTCTAACCAAGGGAAAAATTATATTTCAGTGAAGCACTATCTTGACAGTCTCAACGATCTGCAGCATTAGGTTTATGATATTGATTTCTTGTCCTTTGCATCAAATGTCTGAACAGCTATATGTAAATCAGCACAACAGTAATTGTTACTTATTTTTTACCCTTTAACTTATTTTATGAGATCATAATAAATAAGGAAGCTCCTTAAACCTGCCTCATAGATAGCGAAGCCTATGGTATGCATGTCTTGACCCATTTTTCTTTGCTTTCTACGATTCTTCTGAATCACGCCAACCAGAAAGCTACATTTATCATCGTCATCTGCAGGATCCTCGTCTGCTTCATCCAGCTGGATTTTAAATTGAGGATTTGTCCAAAATGTTCCTATAAATGGAAACCAGTTCTGAGTGAGATAAGTCTTTCAATAATTGATGCTGCTGTGATGAACTGATGGCCAGCATTGCCTCTAATTTTCTTACTGGCTGTATGGGACAAGGTCAGTGCAGGGCTGAGACTTCCAGAACTGGAGGTCAGTGCTGCATTCAGTATGCCAACACCGAATGCTGTGCACACAGTATCAGAATGCAAGCAGCCACACAGCTTAGAAAGAACATTGCTAGTGATATGTGGGATTTGGTCTGTGTGTGCATGAAGGAGTTAAACAATTAATTTGTAAGTCTTTCTGAGGCTTTGCTTTGTTTAAAAAAAAAAGAGACAGGTATAGTTTTGTAGACTAATGGGAATTTATTTTCATTGGGAAAGTTTTAACAAGTCAACAGAGTAAAGACAGTGTTATTCATTAGGCTTCAGTAAGAAGGATCAGAAATTGTCCTTTTTTTATTGACTGAGGGGAAATACCCAAATCTTGCAAAGTCCTTCTGGTTTGAGTTTGTAGATGTCCTGGTTGAAGCTAGATGTGTAAAACAGTTTCTCCTGAAGGGGGGAGATATTTTTGAGCTGTTAAGAAATAGATTACGACAGTGTAACATGACTGGTTTCAAAGTTCCAGAAATGTCTGTTTAAGGTCCTGAAGGGGATTATTTGAAGCTGAGAAAGTCTAAGCTCAGTTGTATGAAGATTCAAGACAGAGGCTATCAGATTCTCAAAATCAGGAACTGAAGCATCAGCTATGTAAACCCTATAGGTGTGACAGAGAAGGAAATTTTCATTGGCATGGAGTATTGTAAAAGGGTGCTGTTGGGATTAATAGTATTGTATTTTACTGTCTATTTTGAACATTCAAATTTGCATTAAATGTAAATAGTTTGGTTTGTTCTATTATATCTTCATTTTTTTGTGCAATAAACTTCTGTTTTATTGTTAAACTCAAATCCATAGCATTGCATGTTTCAGTGAAGGACAACTTTGTTAAAATAACAGAAATCAAACAATGATCTATCAAGCTAGATATCAATAGGGATCTGCCTTGTCCAGTAACAACATCAATTGAGATCATAACACCATGCACATCATTCTAACAGGGCAAGACAGATGGTTTCATTTGTTCATTGCTAGTTAGAAACAGACAAATAATATGTCATATAACACTGTATTTTACCACACATATTGATCAAACCACTTTTTAAAAATAGGTAACCCAATTAAAAAATAGTAGAAAAAGAAACAGAATATGTGAAGGGAAACCAACATTAGACTTTGATAGAACATTGGTTATTTGTATGAAAGTGTTGTCATTACTGGTGGAAAGGTGGTTACAAGAGATCACAGAGCTATTTTAAAAATATATTCAACTGCGGTATTGTGGACTGATCAGTACAGATTTGACTGAGAAGAAAATGTAACGCAGTAATATCTGACCTTGAAGTACCAGCCATTCAAGGAAAATTAAACTGTCTTGTCACTAAAGTATCTTCAATGCAAATTCAAAAGAATCTCATATCAAACTGCATGTTAATAAACTGCATAGGTGGAGAAGATGCAAGATTAGCGATTATGTCACCAGTAATGTCACAATACAGCAGAACAAGATGGAACCTGAAGCAGAGTGCAGATGGTCTCAGATGTTCTCTCCTATCCTCTCTGATGTAAACACAGTTATATTTAATAAAGCCTATTAATGTTCACTCAACTGAGTACCAATGTGATCTGTGTTCATTTATTAAGTTGCTTAATGTGTAAATTGAACTCCATACAAAGACAGTGCCACGGAGAAGAGATAGAAATTGAAATTTCATACGTGGATAGTTTCGACATCCTCCTGCAGTAGATCCAGACCTCCAAGTGCCATTATATATCATCATGCTCCACTTGTGAACTTCTTCACTGCTAAGTGTGTCAGGAGTGAGATTGCAGATTTCCACTCGCGAGAAATTTTGGAGAAAGTCGGTAAATGACATCCTGGAAGGAGATTGGGGATGAGCCAACAAAAACTTAAAGAGAACTATGGACAAAAAGACACTTAATTGTCTTCAACAAATAACTAACTGATTTTCGTTACAAAATTTTCTCACTTCTTTCTTTAATCAAATTAGAATTATGCTTACATAGGAATTACAACACAAAAACAGGCACTTCAACCAACTAGTCCAGTGGGTTTGTACCCTATATGTGGCCTGTCATATTAGTCCTACTGTTAATGTTAGCCTTTCCTCTATCCCTATACCTTTTTATTTCCCTTACTTTAGCAACCTATATTCTTTAATGTTGAATGAAAAACCAAAAGGACTTCAGATGCTGAAAATCAGAAACAAAAACAGAAATTGCTGGAAAATCTCAGCAGGTCTGGCAGCATCTGTGGAGAGAAATCAGACTTAATGTTT